AACAATCGTTCGCTATCCTACCCCTTTGCGCCACCATCCCAGTCCTTGCTTCCCCGCACAGCCTCCCAGTTTCGCGAGAAGACCATTCAATCTACCCACTCGCTCTTCCCCCCGTTCAGCAGCGGAAAAGCGGAAGAAGACGAGCAAGAGGGGAGGAAAAAGAGGGGGGGGAAGAAGGTGCCTAATCGCACTCACCACAGTGTCCATCTAATTGTCATTTTTGTTGTTATTGTTGTTGTTGTTGCTACCAGCAATCTTGTTGTCGTTATTGTAGTTGTTGTAGTTGTTGTCACCACCGTTGTTATTAGTGTTTGTTGTAGTCGCCATTGTCGACGAGTCGTCTAAACCTCCCTGGCGAGCGTCTTCCTTGGATGACATGGCCGTCACCTCAATTGACAGGTCAACGAAGGCAGCTTGCCCGGTCAATCCCCCCTTTGACCGTTCCTCAAGCTCCTCCCACAATTCACGCCCCTCCTCAAATAGCGCATAACAATCGGCTGTAATAAGATCCGCGCGCTGCCAATCAATGAGGTCATCAAGGTGGGGGTCAGGCCCTTCCTCAATCTGCCAAACGATATCTAACATGCGCTGCTTCAAGGTCTCCACCCGAGCCGCCACCGCCACATGATCGACGTCAGGCCAATCTCCAGCAGGCGAGGCCAGACACTCCACCAGCTCCTGCAGCCGGCCTCGACCAAGCCGCAACGTTGAAAGCCAATCATCTGCCCGGCGTTGGAAATCCGCGGGCGTTGTCATCACGTTCTCCTTTTCTGTCTCCGCCGTCCTCTTCCTTCCTCGGTGTCTCCGATCTCACCAGTATCGTATGGGCGCCGACGCGCCTTCGAGTCTCTCCACCACTGTCATTCCAGCGTGGTTCCGACAGCGTCAAGAGGTGTAAAGGTCCTCAAACTCCAATGGGTGATGGCTGTCTCCTCTTACCTAGGCTCCAGCTTCTCGCCCACTGAAGGCTATGGAGTGCGGACGGGCCTTGCCGCTCCGGTCCATAGCGCTTGTTAGCGCTTCGCCTTTTTGATATACTTCATATCACCTCGTTAAGTAGGTTCTCCGCATATGAAGTTTCTTGTAAAAAAAAAAAAACAAACAAAAAAAAGAAATAACTCCGCGGGTGACCGCTGCACAGTTTCGAATTCGCAGGAATAACAGTCCACTCCAAGCTTGGGCGAAGACAAGTTCGAAACTCCAAGCTTGGGCGAAGACAAGTTCGAAACTCCAAGCTTGGGCGAAGAAAAATGCGTTCGACGGCCTACCGGAAACGCAGAGGGGCCCAACGAGATACAGGGGGTGAATCTTCGCTGGAATATGGAAAGATACAGCGCCATGATTTTTGTCTTTTGTGCAAAGGGGATACAGGGGCCCAACGAGATACACGGGCTGACAACAACCTATGCGTGTCATCCTTGGGGCCTCGTGGCGGTGCATGTTTCCATGTTCTAGCGGAAGATTCACTCTCGTTTTTTTTTTTTTTTCAAGCACTGTCGCGTGGCTGGCCA